TCAACATATTAATAACTAAATAGTATATACCTTGACAACCAATTGAAATAAGTTTAAGTTGAGGCACTAAAACGACTAACAGGGAATAAATTAATTAAAAATGTAAACTGAAAAATGAAATAAAAATAAATGAAAGCCTAAACCAACAAAATGTTTTAAAAAATCCTGACACAAGCACATAACAAAATTACTAAAATGTAAACAAATTCAATATATGAATGAATACTGTAATGTCATATCAATACTACTCAAATAACTCAAATATTTTAAAAGAGTTGTTTCAAATCTGTCTGAATGATTCATTGGAAAATTCCGAATTTTACTGATTAAAAAAAAAGAAGAAAATAAAATTATGCTTTGTTTTGGTCAACCTTTGTATCGACTAGTTCTCTTTTGTGTTTAGTTGGCAAAAACATGACATAGACTGCTGTTAGCAGTTCCTGGTTGAGTTATTATTTAATTAGTTATTCGTTGTTTTTAAATCTTTAAATGGACTGGCCCCAAAATATTTGTACTATTCCTCTCTCAGTCCTTTGAGGTCTTCTGATCAGTGTTTTTTAGTGGCTCCCAGAACCTGATGTAAACTTAAAGCAGATCGTGCTTTTTCAGTTGCCGGCCCCAAACTCTGGAACGCACTGCTTATGCATATAAGATCCGCTCAGACCATTTAAGTTTTTAAAGCCTTGTTAAAAGGTCATTTATTATCGCTTGCTTGAGTTTGAACATTAAATGTGACCCTGCAGCACATAAGCAGTCTTAAGTCGCTGGGGGATATTTGTAGCAATAGCCAACAATACATTGTATGGGTCAAAATTATACATTTTTCTTTTATGCCAAAAATCATTAGGATATTAAGTAAAGATCATGTTCCTTAAAGATATTTTGCAAATCTCCTACCGTAAATATATCAAAACTTAATTTTTGATTAGTAATATGCATTGCTAAGAACTTCATTTGAACAACTTTAAAGATGATTTTCTCAATATTTAGATTTTGCACCCTCAGATTCCAGATTGTCGAAATATTGTCCTATCCTAACAAACCATACATCAATGAAAAGCTATTTATTCAGCTTTCAGATGATGCATAAATCTCAATTTCGAAAAATTTACCCTTATGACTGGTTTTGTGCTCAAGGGTCACAATTGGTGTTTAAATTGTGAATGCACAGAGTCTGTCCTTTTTAGCATTCTGTTCATTATGCTTTGCAGCACTTTGGGCAACCTTGGTTGTGTAAATGTGCTTTAAAAATACCTAAACTAAACTAACTCATCTAAACATATCTATGGCTGGGTGGAAGGTGCGTCACTGAGCCGTGTCTGTGTGTGCTGTCTCAGGAGCAGGAGCAGATGCAGTGCTACAACCAGCGTATGATCGAGCTCCACAAGGCCCGACAGCAGCAGGAGAAGAACAGGCTGCCCAAGATCCAGCGCAGCGAGGCTAAAACACGCATGGCCATGTTCAAGAAGAGCCTGAGGATCCACTCCAGCGGAAGCTCCGCAGAAGACCGCGAGAAGACCAAGCAGGTAAAGCATGTCTCCGACGGCCCTACAGTCTGTCCTCCTCTCGGAGACCCTCATCTCTCTCTCTGTTCAGTTCTCCAGGCTGGAGGAGAAGAGGCAGAAGGCCGAGCGCTTGCACCAGCAGCAGAAACACGAGAACCAGATGAGGGAGAGGATCAGCGAGTGCGAGGGAAACGCCAGAGAACTGCAGCAGCTGCAGGTGAACTAAACTCTTTCTAATAGACGCTCACTCTTGTATACAACACAAAAGATGAGTGGATATCCGTGATTGTGTCAGAATACACGGGATACACTTTGTTACTTTGGTCTTTATTTTTAAGAGAGCTGAATATAATTAGTCATGCAGGGCTCTAAATGCTTTTATTTTTATTTAGGAGCACTTTGTGCATGCACTTACAAGTTGCATAAATAATGTTATTGAGATTAATGTTTTAAATATGAAATTTGGAATATATGAAATGATTCCAAAAAATAGAATGATACTTTTAAATATGAAACTCAGATTGCCAGCAGGTGGCGGCAAACCACTGTCCTAATGAGTGAGTCATTTGCTGCGTCCCAATTCGCCTACTTATACTATGCCCTAAAAGTATGTACTCTTTTTGGGAAGAAAAAGTACATACTTTTGAGTATGTAGCAGAATAGTATGCAAGCTTTGGGACATGCTACTTCGTCATAACTGCGTCTTTAACGGACGCTCTGTTGCTTAGTGACGTGCATCTTGTCACAGTTTAAACTGGCCTGTCAATCATCTTGTCCAAGTTAACATTATCCATATTTCGTTTAATTTAATTTCCTACCGTACTGGAGAGAAATGAAGAGGCACGTTGATCTGTCAGTCGTGGGTCTATCATGCAGAGAACTCTGCTCATATGTTTGCATAATGATGCATTTAAAAGTTAATGACCAAACGTATCATTATAAAGTTCAGTGTTGCTGCAGATGAAATATAACGCGGATAACATTAAATAATCAATATCTAACCTGTTGAAAAAATATTTATTTATCACTCAAACCCCTTTCTCTACCTGTCCGTAGGTCTTGCATATCCGCCATGTTTGTAGTTTTTTAACCCTTTTCATGTGTGTTTGTAGTTCTAATGGAATCCTCATCCACCGTGCAATGTGTTGTGGGCAATATTAGCCGTTAGAGTGTGCATCGATCTGCACTTCCAATTCTAACCGGAAGCAGTAAACCATCCGGGTACCTTTGGAATACTCTTTTCAACATACTACAATTTGGGACATACTAATTCTAATTTCGAATACTATTTAGGACGGATAGTATGCGAATTGGGACACAACAAGGTGTCTGAACGTGAGTGATCATCACGGATGAGATTGTCAGGTGAAAATTCATCATGTAGATCATTTTATTTACGGCTAAATTATTATTCATTAATTTTACTAATATTTAGATTGGGCAGGCCTTCACAAAAGGGCGTGTAATTACAAAAAAAAAAATGCCTTGACAAAAGGGCACTGTTGGCATCAAGGGGGAAAGGGGCAGGTGCTCAATGACGTCTCAGACTGACCGATATAAGTAAAAATAAACAGGTATTTTCTGAGTTTTGAGCCATTCGTTAATGCTTTGTATACATTGTCGTAATAATTATAATTCAAATGTGTTTTTTATTGACCACAATATTATTGTTGATAATTGTTGAGAGAGGGGCACTTTTGGTTAATTTTGGAAAAAGGGCAGGGCTTAAGCCCCAAAAGCACCCCCCTCTGCAAGTGCCTGGGCTCCACTTCTGATGATATATGATATACAGCTCTATTTCTCTCTTGCAGACGCTCATAAATCGATTAGCATGCTGATGGACTACAGAAAGAGAGCAACACTGACATCCACTTCACCAGCCATCTTGTTTAACAAATACTCTGTCTACA